GTATGCGGCACCAGTTTGGAACCCACACCTAGCCAAGCACGTAAAGAAACTAGAGAAAGTGCAAAGGTTTGCAACAAGACTAGTCCCAGAGCTAAGAGGTATGTCCTACGAGGAGAGGTTAAGGGAGGTTACCTGGAGGTTATTCCGGGGATCAACGCCCCCGCGGCCCGGTCCATGACCAGGCCTCCCGATGGATCAGGGCCTGATCAACTAGGCTGTTACTGCTGGCCGCACGCAGTCCAACGTACGAGCCTCAGCCCGGCTGATCCGGCACTGACTTTAGGTATCTGTCCAGCTCTCTCTTGAAGGCAGCCAGGGGTTTATTGGCAATTCCCCTAATGCTTGATGGGAGGCTGTTGAACAGTTTTGGGCCCCGAACACTTATGGTGTTTTCCCTTAGTGTACCAATGGTGCCCCTACTTTTTATTGGGGGCATTTTGCATCGCCTGCCCAGTCTTTTACTTTCGTAGGGAGTGATTTCTTTGTGCAGATTTGGGACCATTCCTTCCAAGATTTTCCAAGTGTAGATTATGATATATCTCTCCCTCCTGCGTTCCAACGAGTACAAGTCAAGTGCTTCCAAGCGTTCCCAGTAGTTAAGGTGCTTGACAGAACTTATACGTGCAGTAAAGGATCTCTGTACACTCTCCAGATCTGCGATTTCACCTGCTTTAAATGGAGATGTTAATGTACAGCAGTATTCCAGCCTAGAGAGAACAAGTGATTTGAAAAGGATCATCATGGGCTTGGCATCTCTCGTTTTGAAAGTTCTCATTATCCATCCTATCATTTTCTTTGCACGTGCGATCGTGGCACTGTTGTGATCCTTGAAAGTGAGATCCTCAGACATTACTACTCCCAGGTCCCTTACATTATTTTTCCGCTCTATTGTATGGCCGGAGTCAGTAGTATACTCTGTTCTAGTTATTATCTCCTCCAGTTTTCCATAACGGAGTAGTTGGAATTTGTCCTCATTGAACATCATATTGTTTACCGTTGCCCACTGGAAAACTTTGTTTATATCTTCTTGGAGGTTAACCGCGTCCTCAGCAGATGACAGCCTCATGCAGATCCTAGTATCATCCGCAAAGGATGATACGGTGCTGTGGTGTATATCTCTGTTTATGTCTGGTATGAGGATAAGGAATAAGATGGGGGCGAGTACTGTGCCTTGTGGAACAGAGCTCTTCACTATGGCAGCCTCCGATTTAACTCTGTTGACCACTACTCTTTGTGTTCGATTTGTTAGGAAGTTGAAGATCCATCTCCCCACTTTCCCAGTTATTCCTTTAGCACGTATTTTATGGGCTATTACGCCATGATCGCATTTGTCAAATGCTTTTGCAAAGTCTGTGTATATTACATCTGCATTCTGATTTTCTTCCAGTGCATCCAAGGCCATGTCATAGTGATCCAGGGAAATCGACCTGACGACATGGGGACAGGAGATATAAAGGGGATATGATAACGACATTTAAAATACTGAGAGGAATCGACAAGGTGGACAGACAGGATGTTCCAGAGATGGGACACAGCAACAAGGGGTCACAGTTGGAAGTTGAAGATTCAGATGAATCACCAGAGATGTTACGAAGTATTTCTTCAGAGTCGTCAGGAACTGGAATCGTCTAGGAAGTGATGTAAGAGAGAGATTTCGTTCGGATTTTTAACCCCGGAGGGTTAGCCACCCAGGATAACCCAAGAAAGTCAGTGCGTCATCGAGGACTGTCTAACTTATTTCCATTGGGGTCCTTAATCTTGTCCCCCAGGATGCGACCCACACCAGTCGACTAACACCCAGGTACCTATTTGCTGCTAGGTGAACAGGACAATAGGTGTAAGGAAACGTGTCGGAATTTCCACCCGCCGGGAATCGAACCCGGGCCCTCCGTGTGTGAAGCGGGAAGTATGATAAAGCTCACGGAGCAGGATGAGACCTAGTAGCGACCAGTGAAGAGGTGGAACCAGGAGCTGTGAATTGACCCGTGCAACCACAACTAGGCGAGTACAGGCACACACGAAGATGAGGACTACTGTTTTTGATGATTCAAAACATTTGACGCATAAATATATAAATATATAAATATTTATTCGTGGATTGCTTGGTATCTGCCTCAGTTTGCACATTGAGGGAACGGGGTTCGAGCCTCGGACGAGTGGAAACGTTGGGAATGTTGTCTTACACCTGCTGCTAAGTAAGTAAGTTTATTCGGGTATACACAAATACAGTTACATAGATTATCATACTAGCAGCATATGTGTAGAGAACCTAGGATAGCCCAAAAAAAATCAAGAGGGACTTATTTCCATTGGAGTCCTTTATTTCCATTGCTCCAGTTCACTTAGCAGTAAGCAGGTACCTAGTAAGTAAGTAAGTAAGTTTATTCAGATGTTAGGTGACTAGTGTATGTCGCTCTCTGGAAGGAAGGATTAAAAACCTCAATGAAAATAACAAGTCTGATGATATGCTGGCTATATTAGATTACTCTGCGTTACTAATCATCTTTGTTAATAATCCGAACAAAATCCTTCAGGGAATTAAAACAATAGTCTCCCAGACAAGTTTTCTAAAACTCTGCGTTATAGAAAACAAACTTCAATAGGGAATACTTAAATACGAAACATTTTTTTTTAAATTTCTTACTTAACGCACAGTTCAGAGGAAATAATATTTAATGCAAAATTAAAACGAAATAGTTGGAACAGCAGTATTTGCATGAAATAAGACTAGCGGGAATATTATGTGACTGATAACTGTTACTCTAAGATTTATGCATGAAATATCATATGTAATATGCAAATATGAACAAAAACTAATTTTTATACTGTAAATTCAAAGCATTTCACCTGAGACACACTCGAATAACTACTGCAGCAAACGTAAGACTGGAAAATTTTAGTTTAGCTTAAAGGAACATAAACAAGGAGGCATTCATGACCTGCACAACAAATATTAGGGCCATCTTGGAACAAGCAGTGCATAAGTAAGTACTTACTTACTTACTTACTTACTTACTTGCAAAGAAATCAGTCCCAGAGCTGGAGGTAAGAACTGAGTTGAAGCTAGAGTAAGTAAACCTGACACTAGACGATAGAATGATCAGAGGTGACATGATTACTACGTACAAAATACTCGAAGAACTGACGGGGTGGACAGGAGGAGTATGAGAGGCGGGTTTCACGTACACGAGGTTTCAGATGGCAGTTAAAAACACAGATGAGTCACAGAAATGTTAAGAAATACTAATTTATCTTTATTGTGGTCAGGAAGTGGAACGAACTAGATCTAAAGCGAAGTGGTAGAGACAGAATCCATACATAGCAGTAGTAATTAGGTATGATAGGGCTCACGCAGTCAGAAGTGAAGTCAGTATCGGCCAGTAGGCAGGCGGGGCCAGGAGCTGAGACTTGACCCTTGCAACCACAGTTAGGTGAGTACTACATTAGTGGGTTGGTGAACGGAGCCATCAACAAACAAATTGTGGAAGAGTTGAGAGTTGTAACAAAGGCATCGGTAATCTAAGGCATCGTGCTAGGCTCCAAGACGAAGCTTTGGTTGTGCTGTAATAAGGTTCTTTGGGGGGAGAGTGAGGGATGGTGATTAGGAAAGCAGTAATTTCCCCTGGGGCAGGGAAGTTTCACTGTTGTCTAACTTGACCTAGATCGCATTTCTAATTCATTCGGAGGTCGGTTCGTTTTCACGATCTGTTTCGAGGAGTGCTACTCTGTGGTGAAGAAAGTTTGGATTGCATCTGTGCAAGAGTTTGGATGGGTTTGTGTGCATGCTTGGAGTAATTACATCATTCCACGTCACTTACAACTGCAATTTCAATTACTACTTCAGATTTTAATAAAATAATAATATTAATAAATCCTTATTTCTGCAAGTACATGTACAACATATATAGGCCGAGCTGACATCACTGACATACTACTATATAGAAAGCCCCTAGTTATACAGAGCATTTCGGGAAAATTAAGTCAGTTTTGTCCCCAAGATGCGACCCACACCAGTCGGCTAACCCAGATACCTATTTTACTGCTAGGTGAACACGGACAGCAGGTTTCTTAAAGAAACACATCGTAATGTTTCCACGCGTACCGGAGATCGAACCACGGACCTCAGCTTGTGAGCTGAATGCAGTAGCAATCGAGCTACGGGACACGCAATTACAACAAGACGTATTTCGGTCGCTGCGCGATGAAAGGTATTCCATAACCCTCCAAAACCCTAGTCTCCTGTGTCTTAATGATAGCGATTGGAATAGGGCAGAGTCGACATAAGTTGATAATACTGTTGAATACTAGATGTATTTCGGTCACTGTGCGATAAGAGAAAGGTATTCCTGTATTCCATAACCCCAGCCTCCTGTACTACAATGCACGCAAAAAAGATTTGTGGAGAGTGCGCACAGATTTCTAATGCATTTAAATATTAGCATTGATGATATGAAGCGAAACAGATTAGGTATTCACATGAACACTAATATCCCTATTTCTTCAAATAAAAATGACATTAGAACATTAACAACTCGAAACTTATTCACACTCTCCTCTAAGAAACACATAGTGAAGAAGCATTATCTTGTTATCTCAGAGAGATCAGTTTGAAGCGACTCAGTTTGCTTGATCAAATTATCAGCGTTGAAGAGTGAAACCATATGTACGAGGCTATCAGGAATTAATACAAAAATAAAAGTATTTGAATCTCCCCAGTTTCTTAGATAAAGAGGCTAATTGGGACCAACACGTAATGCAAATAATAATCATAAATAATATTTACATATAGACACACACACACACATACATACACATACACACACACACACACACACACACACACACACACACACACACACACACACACACACACACACACACACATCAGGCCTAGTGTCCAATCAACATGTGCCTGGGACAAAATGGTAACTAACACACACACAAGAACCTTATTTTAACAAAATTAAGGTTTAAATAGTGATTCTATAATGCTTGTACTCTTTATTTTATTTAACATATGTTTACAGTATTACTACTTTTAGTGTAACCTTCCTTTGTTTATATATCTTATTTCTCAGTGCTATTGCTCAGCTGCACTATCCTGCGTTATATATATTTAATCTAAGTTCAGTTCAATCCCACTGAAATACTCTGGAAAAGATGAAGCAACTCAAGGAGATTAACCTATAAACTGGAGTAGTGTAAATAAAAATATAGCATAGTTGATAATATTACTTACCGGGGATGACATACAATGTTCAGAAGACCGAATAGTTTGTTCAGAATACCCATGATTCTTCATCACCATCATCATCCTCCCTCCGCTTTATCCTCTTTATTTTTATCATCATTTTGAAAGTTCTATGGTTGTAGGAGCCATACAGTGCCAGTGAAATACAAGGTTTGATACAAGGATGAAAAAAAAATGGTCTAATTCCTTGGATGACGAGCCCTCTACTAAGAAATTAAAGCAGTGTTTCTCAGCCATTTTTCCAGCTGACCCACCAGTCATGGTAGGTCAGCATCCTCAATGATGGCCGCGGCCCACTGTTTGAGAAACACGGTACGAGAGCCTTGGGACTACTCTAGACTTTCTGTAACCTTTGGAAGACAGTTTCTGCCAGGAAGGCGAGACAGGCGACGCCCACACCTGCCGCCCACAATACAAACACGCCGCCCATCTTCCCCATGCTCAGAGCTTTGCCCTCCTCGTCCCACAGGTCTGCAGGCACGCAGGTAGAGTGAGGTAGATCAACCAGCCTAGTCGACCTTGCCCAGACCAAGCTGTGTCAAAGTGAGTTATGGTGACACCTCATGATAGCCAAAGCGTGAAGAAATTTAATATTTTTTTTTTATTTTTTTTAATTCAATTTTGTTGTTTTGTTAATCTTTAGCTCAGTTAATTACAAGTATTTAATATTTTGTTAGTTTAAGTTAGGCTAAGTTAATATTTTACGTGGTTATGCTAGGACAATAACACTGCCCAACTAAGTGTAACTTAATTTTATTCATTTAAGAAATCAAGTTGTTTTTTAGTTAAACCTGAAGCGCTGATCATGATTCTGAGGTGGTTTAGTCTCTATCATGTAATTTTTTTTAAATGTACGATGAATATTTTGGCTATTTAAGGTTGTAGAACCAAATGGTATATGTTACAATCACAGGCATTATATTAGATATTAAGCGTGCAGTGATATATATATATATATATATATATATATATATATATATATATATAATATATATATATATATATATATATATATATATATATATATATCCGGGGGATCGAACCCATGTTGTATTACCGCCGCTCATGGTGAGCGAAAATTCACGACGCTCTAACCCACGAGATCATACAATCCTTCCTGTCTCTCTCTCTCTCTCTCTCTCTCTTTAACTTGGTTAAATCTTTGAAACATTGGTGCAAGATACTGGTTAACACTACTGAGTGTTGCTGGCTGATACCAGCCTCTATCACCATCACTGTCTGGCACTCACCTGGTGTTAGGTACTTACATATCGTCAAAGAGCGGCTTAACGAGCGAGTTCTTGGGGAACCCAAAACCTCCTATCTCCAGAAACAAGGGTTCAGTACTGGTCTTCAGCCGACACACACGAACGGAGCCCACTGCAACCAATACGATGATAATCGTAGGAATAACTGAGAATAACTGTAGGATATATACAGTGAGATAATCGTAGGATATATACAGTGAGATAATCGTAGGATATATATAGTGTTAATGAAATTTTTTTTTTAATTTTGCACAAAAAGAATCTTAGAAAACTTACCTAACCTTATTATAACAAGAGCAATTAATTTTAGCCTAACCCAACTAAATATGTTTTAGATTTGTTTACAGTAATTTAATACTAAACAAACACAGTGAAATATATTTTTTTCATTAGGTTCAGAATGATTTGGCGAAATTATTGCATACTAAAATTTTCACTTGTCCTATATGGCAAGATGAGCGTTGCTATTTAAGCCAAGATCGCAAGTTCTGCCTATTCGGCACGACATTATATATATATATATATATATATATATATATATATATATATATATATATATATATATATATATATATATATATATATATATATATATATATATTGAGAGGTGTATTTCTGTGTATATACACTGAGAGGAGTTAACTGTAATCCCTCTGTCAACTATTGTCTGGTGGTGAAAAGGTTAACGTGCAGTCCTAATGACCCTGGTATAGTCGATAGGCTTTCAACTTCATTAGCGAGCCTAATAATGTAATAAAGTTGATAGAATTACCGACAATATGTAAAGTAAAAGGACACAAGTGCAACTAATGTGGCATTTTATTGTGGCAACGTTTCGCTCTCCAGGAGCTTTGTGAAGCTCCTGGAGAGCGAAACGTTGCCACAATAAAATGTCACATTAGTTGCACTTGTGTCCTTTTACTTTACATAGAGCCTAATAATAATGATCAAAGGAAAGCGATAAACCAGTGAAGGTCAAAGCGTAGGGAATGGAAGCTAATTTCCTTTGCTCTAAAAACTCTAAGAATAGAGAAGATGAACTCGTACTTTGCAATGAGGAAATGTTACGTAATGAAACATTTCGAAAGTGCTTTTGATTCGGGAAATCGGAGCCACCCGTTCCCTTTCCTCGAGTCAGACTTGATTACCGTCCTTTATCAAGTCATGGCTAGATAAAACTAAACAGAGTGAAACATGACGTAATGAAGCTCTACACAAAGCTCTATTCAGAGTGAAACTTGATAATCAAAAGCGTTACACAGAGGAACACGAATTGGGAAAATCTCATACAGAGCGAAAGGGACTTGATAAATATATACACACAGAAACATTGCCCCATGAAATTTTGTGTTTGTCTCTCCATTCCACTCAATTATGAATTTGCAATAAGGCGGTAAATGCCAGCAACTAGAGTGAAGGACACAACATTGACGACGTTTCGCCCCTGGGACCTTTTAAAGTTGAAGAATTGAGACACTTATGCAACACATGGGAATCTTTATTGAAGAAACGTTTCGCCACACAGTGGCTTCATCAGTCCAATACAAAGTAGAAATGGGCAAGGAGAGTAGAAGTTTGAGGTAATCAGTCCCTCAACCTGTCAGACACTGCAACATCATGGAATCTGGGTACAAAGACTTCAACGCTTGCCCAACCTTTAGACGACGACCTACTTACACTAGTGGCAGGTCCCACTGTGATCCCGCCTCCTCCTGCTTCAACTCATCTCACCGCAATATATAAGCCACCTCTCTGGCCCTGTGCTGCACTTCCTACAAGAGTGATGGACTGAACATATCGATTCCAGGTTGAGGGACTGATTACCTCAAACTTCTACTCTCCTTACCCATTTCTTCTTTGTATTGGACTGATGAAGCCACTGTGTGGCGAAACGTTTCTTCAATAAAGATTCCCATGTGTTGCATAAGTGTCTCAATTCTTCAACTTGTCGGTTTTCAAACCATTCATCACATATATTTAAAGTGCTGAAGATCTTAGGAACGAAAAACCTTCACTGAAGGTCTGCGTTCCTTTCTGTTTGGTGTTACGAATCTACACTAAATATTTCGTAAACTGGACCAGAGAAAGTTTCATGACTCACCGTGTGTTGTGTAGTGGTCCAGCAGGTAGTCTACGATGACATTGTTCACTGTACCGTGAGAAAGAGAGACATTGTACACAACAGTATCAATGCATTCATAGTGTATAATACCGACAAGTTGAGGGATAAGATACATGTGCAATATTTTGGCGTCTGAAGTAGATACCCGGGTGTTGCATATCTTGCTTGTGTGCAAGTTACTACACACAAGGAACAAATGCTAACATTGTTTACTGCGTATGTGTATCCGTCGTGTATAAGTTGTATCATGTACTTGTAGAAATAATAATAATAATATTATTATTATTATTATTATTATTAAATGCTCTGCATAACCATGGGTTTTCTGCATGCACAACTAAATGTCACCCATCTCTGTACAGACACTATCTTGTGGAAATAAATATTTGACTGATTAATAATCACAACTCTTATTCTTAATCCAATTAAATGTAGCTTCAGAAATATTATATCAGTCACCCACTCTATTTCCTGCAGTAAACAGTGTTGACACTGTATATGATGATATATTTACAAATAAACTCACCATGCACAAGCAACTATGAGACTGATATTGTAAGAGCATGTAGTTTTTGCTTGGCGGAGTGAACGAGTTGATGTGGGCTGCAAGGTGGTGTTGCATATTCTAATATTGGTCTCACGTACGTGGTGTGTCCTGAGAGACTCCTGACTAGGAAGGATATATTCTGGCTGAGATTCTTGAAAGCTCTTCTTATATTTGCCAATGTTGCAGTTGCAACTCACGTCATCCTGTGTGGCAGCTACCACTTTAAACTAGTGGTGTGGCACGACCGGCTTCCTCTCTCCTCTTGTGGTCAATATGCATCTCTTGCATTGTCCATTTTCGTTTTTATTTTTTATTCATTGCTTTAGTGGCGTCAGTAAATACTGACATACACGAGTATAAGGTCGTTCATAGTATTACGTTCTTGGTGGGTGTGGGCGTTTGGGGGTGGGTGGTGGTTTTGCGTTAGTGGATTGTTGTGGGTTGCATCCTGGGGGACAAGATTAACCAAAGTTGCCCGAAATGCTCTACCATAATCAGGGTTTTCAATAAAGTATGTCAGTGATGTCAGCTGTGTCTGTATCGGTAGTATTATATACTTCTATAAATAAGGATTATCATCATCATTATTACTGATTTTACCTGTTAAGGTGTCACAATTAATGATAAAGGTCAAGGTGCAATTGTACCAGTACAAGGTTAATGTACCATGATGGTGCTGTACATGGTTAAATTATTGTGCTACATTGCTGGCACAGAGTGAAATGTTTACAGCGAGACATAAGCAAAAGGATGTTTTTATTAGTACGATGTTTCACCCACATGAGGCTTTATCAAGTAAAGGCTTTATCAAGTAAAGGAACAGCAAAGAATTACAGACAGACAGCACTAACATCCCATATCATAAAAATCTCTGAAAGGGTCCTAAGAAGCAAGATCACCACCTATCTAGAAACCCATCAATTACACAACCCAGGGCAACATGGGTTTAGAACAGGTTGCTCCTGTCTGTCTCAACTATTGGATCACTACGACAAGGTCCTAGATGCACTAGAAGACAAAAAGAATGCAGATGTAATATATACAGACTTTGCGAAAGCCTTCGACCAGTGTGACCATGGCGTAATAGCGCACAAAATGCGTGCTAAAGGAATAACGGGAAAAGTCGGTCGATGGATCTATAATTTCCTCACTAACAGAACACAGAGAGTAGTAGTCAACAGAGTAAAGTCCGAGGCAGCTACGGTGAAAAGCTCTGTTCCACAAGGCACAGTACTTGCTCCCATCTTGTTCCTCATCCTCATATCTGACATAGACAAGGATGTCAGCCACAGCACCGTGTCTTCCTTTGCAGATGACACCCGAATCTGCATGACAGTGTCTTCCATTGCAGACACTGCAAGGCTCCAGGCGGACATCAACCAAATCTTTCAGTGGGCTGCAGAAAACAATATGAAGTTTAACGACGAAAAATTTCAATTATTCAGATATGGTAAACACGAGGAAATTAAATCTTCATCAGAGTACAAAACAAATTCTGGCCACAAAATAGAGCGAAACACCAACGTCAAAGACCTGGGAGTGATCATGTCGGAGGATCTCACCTTCAAGGACCATAACATTGTATCAATCGCATCTGCTAGAAAAATGACAGGATGGATAATGAGAACCTTCAAAACTAGGGATGCCAAGCCCATGATGACACTCTTCAGGTCACTTGTTCTATCTAGGCTGGAATATTGCTGCACACTAACAGCACCTTTCAAGACAGGTGAAATTGCTGACCTAGAAAATGTACAGAGAACCTTCACGGCGCGCATAACGGAGATAAAACACCTCAATTACTGGGAGCGCTTGAAGTTCCTGAACCTGTACTCCCTGGAACGCAGTCGGGAGAGATACATGATTATATACACCTGGAAAATCCTAGAGGGACTAGTACCGAACTTGCACACGAAAATCACTCACTACGAAAGCAAAAGACTTGGCAGACGATGCAACATCCCCGCAATAAAAAAGCAGGGGTTTGTCATTTAGCACGTTAAGAGGACCATACAATAAGTGTCAGGGGCCCGAGATGTTCAACTGCCCCCCAGCATACATAAGGGGGATTACCAACGACCCCTGGCAGTCTTCAAGCGGGGCACTGGACAAGCACCTAAAGTCGGTTCCTGACCAGCCGGGCTGTGGCTCGTACGTTGGTTTGCGGGGCAGCCAACAGTAACAGCCTGGTTGATCAGGCTCTGATCCACCAGGAGGCCTGGTCACAGACCGGGCCGCGGGGGGCGTTGACCCCGGAACTCCCCAGGTTAAAACTCCAGTACCTGATAAAGCCTCGTTTAGGTGAAACGTTTTACTAATAAGGTCTTCTCTTGCTTTGTGTGTTTTCCACCAGGTATCAGCTACACCATAATTCAACAAGAGTAAGGTACACATTACCTAGGAGAGCCAGGCGCTCACTGAGGGTGCGGTTAATGTAAACTTCTGGTATACTGAACCCGAAATGGCTGCGTATCTCAGCTTTCTTGAAGATCCGCTGCTGGTCTGGGATGGGCGAGGTCTGCTGGTAGGGTAGAGGAATGAATGAGCGGGTTGACAGACAAGCCACATCATTTGTATACTACTAATAATTTCTATTTCTGCCCCTTTACTTGTTATTATCTAAATTTTCTAATCATGGCTGATCATCCTATCTGTCTATTTACCCACTGCGATGTGACTCCTCTTATGAAATGCATATCAGTCAACATCGTTACATCAGCAGTGGACATACAAGTTGAATCGTATCTGTTGGAGTATTTAGGTCTGCCAAAAGGAGCATGGAACTGTAAATATTATAGAACTCATCAAGACAGAGATAAACTGCCAGTTGCTCTGAGTAATTCTCCCAGCAGTCACTCGAAATGGCCAGGACTCGCAACATGGAGGTGACTACTCTGTTTCTTTCTCTCCCTACCTCCCTCCGCGCCACCCACCTTCATTTTTTGGTACTGAGAGAAGGCGTCGTTCACGTTGAGTGTGTAACCCATGTCGAGCAGGTCACGCACGGAGTTGGGCACCTTGTCCACACGAGGGATGGACAGGAAGGCCGTGAGGTTACCAGTATACACTGCTACCACCACCATTGCCACCAACCACGTCGCTGTCAGCACCACCCTCCCTGCTGCACTCCCAGGTTGTTGCTTCGAACCTAGTGTGAAATTCTTGTACACCACATGAATAACTAAAGTGTAATGAACAAATGTCAATGCTCAGTAATACCCGCATTGAGACAGAAACGCAGGAGATTAATCGATATGTATATTTCGACCCCCTTCTGTTGAAGAGGATCCCAGAAGGGAGTCGAAATATACAGATCAATTAATCTTCCGGTTTCTGTTTCCATATGGGTTATTACTGAGCATGTACCGCATATTCATCCTATGAGTGGTAGTAATCCTATACCCATCGAAAGAAACCCAAAGTATTTCTTTTCTTATGCCAAATCAAAGTCGAGAACAACATCCAGTACTGGGCCCCTACTTAAACAAGATGGGTCCTACATACATGACAGCAAGGAAATGAGTGAGCTACTCAAGTCCCAATATGACTCAGTTTTTAGCAAGCCGCTAACCAGACTGAGAGTCGAACATCAAAATGAATTTTTTATGAGAGAGCCACTGAATTTGGTAAACACAAGCCTATCTGATGTTATCCTGACGCCAAATGATTTTGAACAGGCGATAAATGACATGCCCATGCACTCTGCCCCAGGGCCAGACTCATGGAACTCCATGTTCCATGTTTATTCTTTTGCTACCTTAACTTGCATATTTTATCTTGTCAATTTAAATCTAGTTATACTCTAATTCTTGTAAACAACTTATATAACACCTTAGTGCAATTACAATTGAGAGTCTTGTGCCTTTTTTATATTATTAGATTAAACTCAGTTGTACTATAGTCAATACCAAATTCATTATATTAGACCATATTGCAATTACTAGTGAGAGACTGGTGCTATTTTTAATTTGTATTGTTATATTATGATTAATCAGTTGTACTATGCCATTCTAGCTCAAAACATAGACTCCACAAAAGTCATTATTAGCCTTAGTGCAATTATTGATTACCACTTTATTGTTCACCAAACTTAATTAGTCCCTTTTATATTATAATTTTATATTATAATTCTAACTTTAAAAATTACCTTAAAGTACCCTACTATCAATTCCAAGCTCCATTTTTTGACATCTACTTATTGTTACCACAATATTTTAGCCCCTTTTATATGTCTTCTTATTTTAGCTTAAAAAATACCTTAGCTCTTTATTTTACATTGTTAAATAATTCAGGTGCTATTTTTTTTGCTTTAAAATTATTACTTTTTTTACTAATTCTAACTAAGATTCACTACAAATCTTATGATTCAAGCATTGACCTGACACCAACCTCTTATTTAATGATTAAAATGATTCAAAACAGTTACTGTAATTACTACAAAGCAGAACATCAAAGGCACTTCTCAGACCCAAACAACAACATAACTTATCTTTAATACAATATCAGATCTTTAAGAAAGCATTATGATGACCCCTAGCATACTAAATTCCTTGCATGCCAAATGTCCATCATTACAAATTGAAAAGGCTAAAGCGGGATACTGCAGAGTCAAATGCATTCCTGGTTACCAGCCATACCAACTGTAGGCCAGACAACAAGGTCGGTATATAAAAAGAGGTCTGCTATATACTAAGACCAACTAGATGAAACCCAAATCTTGCACAGGGGATGAACAGGGATATATTAGCTAAATTCAATTCCAAATACCTACAAAACCTCTCAGTGTAAAATTACAGAGTTCCACAATCAAACATTAGCCATTTAGTCAAAACCTAGGAAGTATGATAACTGATGCACGCTGAACAAGACCTGACAATCTCAGGCATTTAATATAATCTCCTGTAAGACCAGACCCACCTTACTGAATCACAAACACAATGTAACTGCATGTTGCAAACACAGAAACAAACCACAAAGTTACAGAGACTGGTTCCTACTTCCCACATCGGACCAACACCTATCCTTTTAAATCGGGCATATTACAGATATACCACGGACCAACTACCTATTTCTCAAAACAATTTTGGGTAAATACCCAAGACACTATAAAGTCCCTTCAGACTCAAATGAGAAGCCATTAATAACTTTCAAAACAGCAGAAACAAAACATGATGGCACACTGAGCTAGAATTAAAATTTACAGATATTGCGAATGTTTATAATTTTCTAAAAAAGACCCAATCCTTATAACAAGCACTGCCTAAAAACTAAACAGATGACAGTAAGAGATGAACAGCCCCTTTGGCTAAACCCAGAAATTTCAAATCCATAAATACAAAACCCCGATAGGGAAAACAGTACAGAATGGGTCCATAACCAAGACCAAACAAAACGTTAGTCGTCAATCCTAACCAGCCTGATAAAGGGCAAAAAAATTGAAATTATGAAAAGATTTTCCAACTTACGAGGTATAAAAAAAGACTGGAAGACCCTATCAGAAATTCTGGGAACAAAAAAATTTCCGCCCTTAGCAAATAAAATTAGCAAACGATGAACCCCAACTCCCACAACAGAACAGCAAACAGACCAATGATTTCTTCTCCCTTGGTCAAAACCTTGCCAATAAACCCCAACTCAGATACCCCCCCAAATGCTCCTCACTGGCTTCCCTAAAACACATGTTCCTACTCCGATAACCCATCAGTCTCCCTTATATCAAGCATTTAAAAAACAAGCCCCAGGAAATTTAAATACCTTACCACCTTATATACAAAAAGCGTCACAAGTACTATCACCAATCATTGCAACACTCTTTAACAAATCATTGAACCTCCCCTTTCCCAACAGTCTCAAAAGCAGGGTTCACCCCGATCCTTTAAAGGGGAGACCAACAGAGTTAATAACTATAGGCAATACCAAACTTCACCTCTCTTAAATCTCCGAAAAATTTAATTCATAAACGAATCTACCCTACCTCATCTCCCAAAACCCATTCTCAACCCTGCCAATTTTGATTCAGGCCTAATACAATACTATGATGCTTTATACACATGCTAGACATTTATACACTGCAATAGAGAAGAAGCCCCACGGGGATCTTCTTTGACTTACGTAAAGCTTTTGATACAGTTGACCATGACTTGCTCACTAAATTGTCAACTATGGTATAGGGGCACTCCTCAACTTACCTCAAGTCAACCTCAGCAACAGAAGCCAATAGTGTACGCAAATGGGAAAACCTTCTCACAACCAATTAAGTTGTGTCCCCAGGGATGTCCGGGCCCCTTTTCTCTTTCCCCTATACATAAATGACTTCAAATGATCGCAATTACTCAAACCCACACTATTTGCAGATGGAAAACTACATACGTCTTCTCTCACCCGAGCCCAGTCACACTACCCAAATGTAAATCCCGAATTACAGAAATATCTACCTGGTTTGAGGACTAACAAACTTAGACAAACATTGACAAAAACCTACTTCTTCAGTTTGGTAACAGGCTCAGATGTACTCTTAACTAACAAAAACGGTCACCTATCACAGTAACAGGGAAATTCCTGGAATCCACCTCGATAATAGACTCAAATTTCATTACACATATACAACAATTTCTAGAAATCTCCAAGACGAAAGGCATACTATCGAAGATACGGTACTATGTCCACAGTCAGCCCTCCTGCCCTTTATCACTCTCTTATTTACCCATCTCACCTATGGAAATTTCATGGGGCTCAACAACAATTTTAACCACTCCAGCCATATTACCCAACAAAAAGCTGCAGTTAGAGATAACAAATTCCCCATTTACAGCAACCACTCCCCCAATATTCAAAACACTCAACCTACTCACCACACAAAACATCCATACTTATTATTGCACCTATTACATACATAGAACACTTAACTCTGATATTAACCCTCCCCTCAAACATCTCCTTGCCAACCTCAACAGAACACATGACCATAACACAAGGCACAGATCACTCTTTGATGTTCCTCGTGTCCATCTCACGCTATGCAAAAACTCTGGTGGCCTGGTGGTTAACGCTCTCGCTTCACACGGCGAGGGCTTGGGTTCGATTCCCAGCCAGAGTAGAAACATTGGACGTGTTTCTTTCCACCTGTTGTCTATGTTCCCCATCAGTAAAATGGGTACCTGGGTGTTAGTCGACTGGTGTGGGTCGCATCCTGGGACACTGACCTAAGGAGGCCTGGTCACAGACCGGGCCGCGGGGGCGTTGACCCCCGGAACTCTCTCCAGATAAACTCTCCAGATAAACATAAAAGGCCCTAAAATCTGGAATTCATTACCTGTAAATATAAAAGAAACACTACCTGTTTATAAATTCAAGTCTCTTCTCAAAGATCACTTACTCACTCAAAACCAAATAAATACTGAATAACTGAACCTTATAAATTGTATATCCTATATGTTACTCACAATTATATCACACAAATGTTAAACCTAGGACCCAATCTAACTTTATTATTTTTTTAAATACACTACCTAACAGAATACTCCATTCGACTGAATGTACACCCAATGCAAGAAAACCATATGCCCTGTCTTTGTAATACTCATTTGTGCTTTTTTGTTATCCGTTTACAATAATGTTTTATTCACTGATTTCATCATTGCTTAGTTATCTTAAGTTAATTTTAAGCCAGCCCGTAATGTTTATGCTAAAAAGTGGCTTTGGCATGCTGCTCTTACCGTATTTTTTTTACCTCTGTTTGTATGTTTAAAATTACTAAATAAATAAATAAATAAATAAAGAACTGCAAGAGCCCTTTCAGAGCTTTCCACTGGAGAGGGAGAGGGGGACACGGGGGTCGTCCACAGATACTAAACCACAGACTAGCCCCACTCCACAAAGGGGGCAGTAAAGCAATAGCAAAAAACTACAGACCGATAGCACTAGCACCCATATCATAAAAATCTTTGAAAGGGTCCTAAGTGGGCAAGATCGAAACCCCATCTAGATACCCATCAATTACACAACCCGGGGCAACATGGGTTTAGAACAGGTTGTCCTGTCTGTCCCACTACTGGATCACTTCGACAAGGTCCTAGATGCACAGAAGACAAAAAGAATGCAGATGTAATATATACGGGACTTTGCAAAAGCCTTCGACAAGTGTGACCA